ATAAAGATCGATCTCTCTTGCGTGTAATTACGTCACAAATTAAAATGCGTCTTGTCACGGATGCGGTGTTAAAAATTCGCAGTGTGAAATACGCTGCGCGCGAGAGACAATTTTTTTTATGAAAATACGTATCCGACGAGAGATGCATCGGGATGAAATAACAGATATAGTTGTGAATAACACCGGGATTATGTTTTTGTAGTAACGGGACGGGTGAACTATACACACATCTCGGATTATTATTTTATATGCCGCTGGTAAAAATGGGCAAACAAAAATTATAATGTTGAAAGAAGAGTTTTCGTCGAACTAAAAATTCGATCGCAAATTGAAAGAAATAATACGCAAGCCCGTGACACTTGGTGAACGCAGACTCTTTATGGATGCATCACCGTCGCTGATGTTCGATTTCAGCCGCGGACGCAGCGAACGCGACGAATACGATTAATTAATGAGACGGTGACACGCAGCTACGAATGTAGTAATGTTTGCGCAGCGTTGCTTCATGGTCAATGCGTCCTGTTAACACGCGTAAACGCGCTCCGCGTGGATAATCAGATTGAAAGCTATCATTCTCGTTATACTGCTTCGGGAACCGCAATTGTTTATTTTTAATTTTTCCCATTGTTTTCCATCAAACGGAACACGATCGGCGCGATAAATTTATCACAACCAGAATATCCTCGAGCGACCGTAATCGAATATATGGACATGTCGGTCGGGATTTGAGAATTTAATAAGTAAGCTCGCATGAGCTTCCAATTTCCGCGTAAATTTTTAAACGCACGCTCTTGGTATTTCGGTTTTTTTAATTAAATAATCCCCATTTATTTTTATTTAACCGTAATACTTATATCGTCGAGAATATTATCGGAATTATGTTGAGATGTACCGTAGAGAAACACACACACACATATATTAAAAAATATTTTTCTTTCTCTCTAAATTAGAATATTATTTTTGCGTCACGTATTTATTTCTTAGATATTAATTGAGATTTAAATTTATCGAATGATGTTGATTATTTTTGTGACAAAAAATGTATGACTAAGGATTAATTGAGAAAGATCTTTTAATATTGACACTGGTAGAAGTTGCCAGCAACTAATGCATTCGATGTATAAAAAAGAGAATTCTCTGTTAATATCGGAAATATTTTCTCGTATTCTTTTTTAAAGAATAATACAATTTTTTATTATTTTACACGATGAGAGAAAAATAAGCGTGGATTCAACTATTATTTTAAAACGTCTAAAAATTGTATTATTCAACTTTTTGAAAGGAAAATAATCTCATTTGAGAATTAAAACACTGGATATTTGCTGATAATCCGTTTGATTCAACGAACAGAGAATGTCGATACTTTCAGCAACGAATAACTGATGTATCAAACTGAATTGTCATAGAGTCTCATCCGTTTAAAACCGCTCCGCTTCTATTACGCCAATAATGACGCTTCCACTACAAAACGTCACGGTCCACTCGATCGTGTCATCGACACCCGACATTCAAGAAAATTGTTTCATTATCTGACGCGTGCTTGAAAACGACTCGCTTTGACGCTTTGAGTACGATTCCGCCAACGAATATTAAACAAAAGGCGGACGAGATGATACCGCGGATTAATTAAATCACGAATCAATTTTTTCTTTGTGCAATAAATATTGCATATAATAAGTAGCTGTCTCGCAATCAGTACTTTTTCTCATTTGCTCGTATATTTTTAAACTTTACACGTTTAAATAAGCTTGTATATTCCGTGATTATATATACATATTATTTTATTATGTAGAATCATGCATTATATAATATAGGTGAATTGCAATTAGATTTTTTAATACGAGAAAAATGAAGATAGCAGAAAATCATGAAGACTTCTCTCTATTAAAAGAATTCTGACACGCGTTATACAAATTTTTTTTCGCGTGCAAAGTCGACGACGCGAAATGAAATAAACAATAGCGAGGAAAGATTCCCCGTCGAAAGTTTGTTACCGCGAAATTCTCGTCATTCATCGCGCAACAATGCATTAGCGGAAAATTCAACGGACGGATTAAACACGATCACGATGCATCCGGTCGATGCAATAATAGTGTTCCGCGGTGGCGGCGGCTGTGCATTTGCGTCATGGAGAAAAGCGACAAAATACTATGTGTTGAATAATTCAAGGGAAATGATGAGGGAGGAAGAGAGAGAGAGAGAGAGAGAGAGAGATAGAGAGAGGGAGATGGACCGCATTTCGTATTTGTACAAGTGATCGCTGAATATTTAGCAACGTGTTTATCCGAATCATGATCTCGCGTTTCGAGCGGTGTCACGTTCAACTTCGGTGCTCGACGCCGCTGGCAAATGCATTCGACGAATTCGTTCGCTTCGCCTGTGTAATAATGCGTTAAATGATCTCGTAAATTGTCATTGTTATCTGGACTGAGAAGAATCGAAAGTAGGGCAAGTAAAACAGAAATAGTAAAGTTATTTTTACCGTTTTGCTTTTCTCGCCAAGCGGCCTCGAAGCAGTCGCTTAGAATACCGCGAGAGATGCTCGTTTTGTAAATATATTTTTCACTATCCGTTTCTTTTTTTTAAGAGAAGAGAGTTCGCAGTTATTATACATATATAGTCCTGATACATGCTTGTGATGCTATTTTATCCTCTGATATTTCTTCCGAATTATTCGGTCCAGCATACCACGTTTTAATATCGCAAAGATCGTTTCAACCGTTGGGGGATGTTGTTCCGGCTTGAAAACGCCACGGGACGTTATGTTAGTTACAAAAAAAATATATGTCTCTAGCTGTGTGTCGTCGCGGGCAGATCGATCGAGGGATCGATCGTGAATCGGCGATAATTTCGCGATCGGATGCTGACGACGGTCCAGCACGGAAACGATAGTGTGTACACTCTCGTCCCTTATCTATTCCAACCTCTTTATCCCCTACCTCTTTCTCCCACCAATCTCCCCCGTTACGCCGCATTTGGATATTGAAGTTTGTTCATCGTGATTTCATATTCAGGATGTGCCTTTAGGCCAATGTTTGCATCATTTTAGATTCCTCTCGCTATCCCGCTAGTCCCCGAGCGACTCTTCCTTCAGTTCCGACCTAGCCGTCCCCTCGCTCTCGCTCGATCTTTTCAGTCCCGAATTCGCGGAGACGAAAAAGAGGATAAAGTTTCCTTTGACTTCTCCGGCTGGCGCTTTAATCAAACGCCCTTTGAAGAATCGATCCGCAGCGATATGATATCTGCAGCGCATTTATTAAAAAAGCCTTATCGTATAAAATCTCGGTGAGACGAAGAGCTCTTTTTCCTTTCCAAAACTCGCAGCTTCTCTCCCGAGAGAACTATATGTAACGTTTGTAATTATAAATATAGATGCGCATTACATACGACACCGATATTTGCGGGATTGCTCGGCGATGCGAAACGTGTCGGGAGGAATTGTTCTTTTTGTTTAATCGATGAATTCTGTCGAAGCTCATCAAAATAACGTCTATGTTTGTTCTCATTTGCATCGGGCAGCGCGCGCGAGCCGACAATCGACGCAATTCTAATTCACCGCGCTTGCCCGTCGACATGTAACGACATTATCGGAAGCCGCCCGCACCTTCCTCTACCCTTCCCGCCCCTCCTCCGTCACCATCGTCTCTTCTGTCCGACATAATTTCTCCGGCATGTTGCACTCTGCTCGCTGCTGCTCTGCCGCATTGACGTTCCACCTATTCCTTTCCAGATACGCGGTCGGTATGCCTCGGAATATTACCTATCTACTCGCCGCATGACCTATTTACATGCGCAAGAGCTCCTCTTTCGATGGTTATTGGAGTCGAAGGGGGAGGGTGCGCATAAGTTGTGGGATGCACAGAGACGCGAGATCCAAAGCTATTTACGCAGATCCTTGCGAAATATAATATCCTTTTGCTCTCTCTCTCTCTCTCTTGCGTATGTCGATACAACCTTTATACATTGTAAATATCGACTTCGCTTATCTTGCCAGAGTATCATGCAAAATTCAGCTTGTCCGAGCTCGTTACGCGAGAATCTGCTTCGTTTCCCCGTTGGAGTCGCGTAACACACGCTCGAAGGGATTTTCCAAGAATCGGTTTCAGCTCACGACGGAGGGAGCTCAAATTTTAAGGCGACTGAAATTGTCGGGCAAACACCGACACCGACTGTATGTATCAAAGATTCTCTCACCCGTCCCTTGAAAAATGGATTTCCACTGTTTCTATTTTGATACCCACCACCGCGACAGCTTGTTTCTGTGTTTATTTATCGTATGCATCGCAGTAGTGTGCATTGCTGTTTCGCAGAACCGAATCTTTTGTCTAAATATTACATATCGAGATGAATGATAGATTAAATTCATATAATATCAAAGCTCCTGAGAACGAAGCGTCTCAATCATCTGGCAGGTACGCGCGAAGCAAAGAATATTAATGTGGATGAATAGAATAGAATAAAAATGAAACAAAATAGGCTCTGAATAAATTATCAAACAAATAAATCAATGACTAATAAATATATAAATAAATAATAATAAAAATAATAAAATAACAGAATACTACTAACATATCTAAGAAGACTTTCGAGAAACTTTAGAAAAAATAAAAATTGTACGCATAATATCATATTATTTATATTATTTGTCATATTATACGAAAATTATGTCACCATATAAAGGAAATAAAACGAAGTAATTAATACTTTGTATAAATAAATAGTGACAATGTAAAAAAAATGTATTTTCGAGAATAAAATTAATAATATTCCTTTTTTTAACACAATACATATATTGATTATTAATTTTACTCATAAAAAATTATTACGCTCTTCTATTTTTAACCGATGCGGCGACTTCAATTACTTCATTCGATTCCAATACCTTTTTCTTTTCTCTTTTTGTTTTAAGACAATGTCTCTAGCACATATGTGTTTGGTGAGATATCATCTCTAGAAATGTTCTCAATTTCGCGCGGAAGAATAGCGATAAGTTCGCTTACCTCTTTGATCCAGTTCTTCCAGAGATCCCGATCCCAGGGATGATGGAAGCCCAGATACAAGTGTCTGGTCTCGCGATGATGATTCTCTTCAGGGTGTTGGCTCACGTGGCACTGTTGAGTGACCCTGGGAAACCCGGTGACACGCAAAACGAGTTTGCCCAGACGTGACGGCGCATAGCACACCGCGCCGCCGCCGCCGCCCAGCTCCATCCATTCCGCTCGCGATTCCGGACAGGCTGCGGGAAACGCGTTTGTCTCGTTATTTATCAGTCCTTTTGATAAATCGGTAGTATGTACGATCGCGACATAGCTATATCTGAGGCTTGAAGAGCTTCGTTTCTAAAAAGTAAAGAGGGGATGTGAATATACTTGTAAATAGAATTTTATTTCTCGAATTAACATTCTAGAATATCGATATTCCATCAGTTTGCTAATCGTTAATTAATAATTGGCATTAATTAACGCGGCTATTATTTCTATTCGTTTATACTGCGATTGACGAAAGCAGTCATTTTTGACACATTTAGTGCACGCACGCATTTTAAGACACGTTGATGTATATTAGCTTTCATCTTTCAAATTCCAAACGCTCAGTTTTAAGCATGACGCGATGCAGCAAAAGGATGACTCCATCTCTTGCTCTCGACGGGATGTCTAATTACGTTCGGCTATGTTCGAGAATACCGGACGGTCGTTGATATTCCGATGACGGCCTGTTACATTCCATAGCGTCGGCTTTCAGAGAACATCCATCACCGGGTATGCCTCGAGTGTGTACCGGCTCTCGCAGACACAAAGCGCCATCGGATATTATCGAATTTTTGCGCTGCTATCGGAGAAAAACAAAAATGTCGAAAACGCTTCCGGCGGCGATCCGATGCGAAACTTATTTATTCGCAGCGATCGCAAAATATCGCCGTATTTTTCTATCAGGGAAGAAAAAAGTGCTTGGATGATTACCGAATCAGCGTGTTGGCATCTTCTCTTGTGAAATTAAAAAAGAAATCTACAAATCGTCGTACACGTTTAAATTAATGAATCTTGGAATGGATCATTTAATCTTGAAATTTCTCGATGTTGAAATCCTTGAATCATATGAAATCTTTCAAGTTATATTTTATAAAAACAGTTATCTCTCTTTTATTCTTTTTTTAGTATCACAACTATTATCGGTAGTAATAATAAAAACGATGTGTTAATTCTTCAGAGATTCTTATGATGTATAGAGATCTCTTTCTCTTTTTTTTTTGACGTTTGTTAATATTGCTACGACACTAAGGAATCAAACCTTATCTTACACGAGCCATATCCTTAGTTCTCGCGAATATCTCGTATAATTTCGGTCTTCTATCTTCTTCGTGTACCAGGACGACAAGCATTATATGTATTAACCCAAATAATTTATTTGAAATAATTGAAAACAGCGCATAATATCCCCCTCTTCCCCACCTTTCTCTAGCAAAATATTGGTTATTACGGAATGCGGAACGAACGATCGTGCTTTTTCATTGTTCTTGAATCGCGATGCGAAGCGTTGGAAAATAGTTGAGGCCGACAATACTTTGCTACAGCTGTTAAGCGATATGGCGCGCACACGCGGTTGGCATCGTTTCCCGATGAGACTGCCGTGCAACTAATTTCCGCGTTCTGGTTCCAAAACCAGACGCCCCGGAAAGTTCTTGCTAGCAGTTCATTAAGTTAGAATTTAACGTGCTTTGCTAACTTTACGTAAAGACGAATAGAATAAATGTTTAGAAAAGACCATAAAGATCAACAGTAGAGCTTCATGTTTAAGAGAAATGAAAACTGTTTTTCTTCAAGCAATCCATGTAATCAAATAATGTATTCATATTATTAAATGCCTTTTGAAATATTAATTTAAATATTTAAATATCTCTCAAAAAGATACCAAGAAATGTGGCTCGTTTACATTTTATCGCATCAAAAGTCAGAGAATTTAAATGATAAATATTTTACGCGCGCCGAAATTTCAGACAACCACATATCCAAAGATTCAAAGAAATAAAAAGACGGATATTAAATTCATAGCGCGGCAATTTCCGTTTTCTATATGTGCCAGAGACAGATTGCCAAATATTCGTTTACGAATTGTAGGATTTCGGGCAATTCCTAATTGAAGCCAGCAGTGGCCGCAGCTTAAATCAGTAAATGCCGGCGAGGCTGACCAACTTCCGGAATAGCCGCCATTCTACAGTCTATGCTAGATTGTGGTTCCATTTGCAAGATACGTATCGAGCAGTCGGCAATTTCCTACAGCGATGCACAGGGTGTGTACATCGATGTCCAGGCGCGTTTCTCTGAATGCTTGTTAGGATAAATTAAACGATGGATCGAAATATAACGAGAGAGCTTTTTAGAAATTATCAATCTTCTTTACGTTCTTAAATGTTACTATTTCAAGTATTTAAATATAATACAAAGTATCATATGAATTTCGAATTGTAATATGAAATATTCAAATAATTAAATTCTGTTTATATATAAAGCACACTTTTTTTAGACGCTCCATAAGTCATGCAAAAAAGTCGGGAGAGGATTCTATTACAGGAAACACACACGCAAAAATTTGAAAGAATAAAATACACGCATATATAAAATAAATACATATGTATACATATTAGAATACACATATGCATTATTAAGGATGGCACGCAAAATTATAAATAAAATTCTGCCTTGAATTTTTTGTTGTAAATTATGGATCATTTAAAGTGGATTTTAGTTTATAAAATTCTCAAGCTTGAAGTATATTGTAAAATCGTTAAGCAAGTAGAATTGCTTCAATATAGAGAAGCGCCAGGATATACGCTGGGAAAACTCTTTCGGACGCGTGACTGGGAGAACGCGGATGCCGAGATCGGGATTGTCCGGTTGGGGATGACACGAATGTCCTTCCTTCCGTCACGTTCGCCGGATACAAATCTCTGAGAGAGAGAGAGAGAGAGAGAGAGAGAAAGCGGCGTCCGAGAAGTACGACCGAGGGAGGGAAGGACCATCCCGGGGAAGTTGTTCGCTGTTGATTCAGCACGAGTCCGCGATAGCGAACACCTGTTACCACGGTTATCCCGAGTTTAATCAAGCCCTCGATTCCCGAAGGACCCTCCGGCCCCTTTCCCCCTTCCTTTCGCTCATGACTGACGTGATGCCGCGGAACGCTTATGGGACACGCTCGTTAAAATCGACCGTCGATCGTCAGCCTCATGTCCAATATTCCCGTCATCCTTTCAAACGAAATACAATTTAAACAATACGTCAATTTCTATAGATCGCGCTTCAAATTCCAATGTTCATAGTCATATAGAAAAATATTATCATTGATATAAACCTATGTAACGGAAAAAGCTAACTTGATTGTCGAAACCATAATATCTCTTTTGCCGTGCTATATTTTTAATCTTGAAATTGAAAAAGCTGCTTGTTCTTGAAACAATACATGTATTAGACTTTTAGCATGAGTTTTAAAATTGAAGTGCGTGTCTTTTATCATGAAGGGAAAGAATTAATTTACAAGCTTCACATCATGAATTCCAAATATTAATGTAATTTTTTTAAAAGCTTCGAGGAAGGAGAGAAAAAAGAAGCGATTGTGTGATATCAAAAGACTAAATGTTTTATTCTTACTCTCTTTACTCCCTCTCTCTACTCCCTCTCTCTCTTTTCTCTCTTGCTCCTCTTCTCTCGCTCCTGAAATAGATTATTAATGAAGTATTGCCACATAATGCCGTATCTTATGTACAAACTTATGCATAGCACGCTACGGAAACAATCACGGTTGCTTCAATATCGAGGAATCAGTAGTTTCGGAATTATAAGCTCTTATATTTAATTAAAACTGCACTCCACCGTCTATATAAACGGATTAATTTTGCAATGATTGTTTGAAAAGAAAGCGGATATCCTTTTTTTCCAATAAACGCTGGAAGACAATAATACAAAGAAAATATACTTTTCTTCCTTTTATAAGTGGCGTACCTTGAAAAAGAGAGAAAAATACATCTCAGATTCGATAAAATGGAAATTCAAGATAGAAATACCAGGATTAAAATACATTCAACGAAAATTTTTGCACTGATCGCGAATAACTCGCTCCATTCCGCGGTTCGCGACGTTGATTCAATATATTCACCGTTAAACAATTCAACACCTTTTCGATATAGACGCGCCGACACATAAAGTATCGATCGCTTAACCTTTCGGGTAACATCGTATGGCGCGATTCAAGTGATAGATTGTGTAAAATCGCGAGGTGGAAATTCCGCGGGGGCATTTTCGTGACCGGACTGAATGGAAACATAGCCATTTCACAGGGAAGGAGGAATTGTTGGGATGCGAGATTCTTGGCCATCTTGTCGTCGACGTCGCGAGCATTTAAGGCCTGGAAAATGCCGAATGTGATCGCCGTGCGCGGAGAAGACGAGACGCGATTCCGGTCACGTTCGGCAAAGTCGCGTCCAACTTCGTTGTCATTTGGTGGAAATGTCTGAATCAATGGATGGTTTTGTATGGAAGGACACGACATGATATCGCGTGCCGATTGTGAAATGGGCACATCGTGGATCTTAAACTTCTAACAATCTAATTTTTATACGAAGATATACGCTATATATATATATATATATATATATATATATATATATATATATATATATAGAGCAAGAGATTTTAGAATATTTCACTTAATCATAAACTTTCTCTCTTTCTCTTCTCTCTTTAAACAAGAAATATAGCCT